ATCGGCGGACCCTGGAAACACGGTCTCCAGGAGGACGGCACGGGATAGGGGGAGGATAGGACGAGGAGAAGGAGGAGGAGGTGGAGTAGGAGGAGGAGAGGGAGGAGGAGGACCAGAGTAAACCCAAGATGCATCAGCGAAACTGCAAGACGCCCTCCCCATCCCAAGCCCCCTCCTCGCGAGCCCCATGCGAGCATTCCTCTTCACTGCGGTCAACGAAAAAAACACCCTTGAAAAGAGAACGCCTCATGGTCCCATCACTGCGGCGAGAGCCCCGCTTTGAGAAAGAGCCGCCCCGCATCCGTCCGGCTATAGGCCAGGAGGCTGGGATGGCTGCGAAGGAGCATAGTCATCGCACCCGATGAGCACAGCAGGGGCCCGACGACGAGAGGCCTTCCCCAAGAAACCCAGCCCTGAGACCCCAGGACGTCCATCGGTGTTTGGTGTGGGAGGGTCACGCTCTCCATGGCAAAACCATCGAAACCCAGGAAACCGAGGGCATCCTGGAGGTAAGCAGGGTGTTTCTTGGCATGGGCCTCCACTGTATCGCTGGTTCGAACACGTAGATCACCCTCGCACGAAAAATATATTGAGAAGAAGCGGCCCTCCACCTGCGTAACGAGCCTGGCTTGGAGAAGCAGTGGATATGCGAAACGATACGGCGAGCGACTCAATTTGGAGCAGACCCGTTCTCAATGCATGATAGTGTCAAAAATGGCGCAGAGCTCCAGCGAGAGTCCCATCTTGAAAACGACTCGCCCTCGATCAGCGTAAAGCGTGGAAGCTGTTCAAACGAATGCGCGCAAACTAATGCGGAAACCGTACCTTTGAAACGGGCTGTCCTCCGTCTGTTGTACGATTGAACATATCAAGCTCCAGAGTCATAACAAGCCGAGGACGCGTCAAGCGACACGTCGGGCACGCCTTACCAACATATCTGGTGGCCTGGCGGGGAGGAGGCATGCGCAAGGAAGACGGGTGGGGGAGGAGAAGGAAGGAAGGGGAGGCGGACGAGGAGGACGAGGACGAGGGGGGAGGGAGAGAGGGAGCGAGAGGGAGAGAGAGAACGCACAGCAAGACAATGAGATGTATAGATATCCCCAACTCATCCATAAACAGAAAAAAGGAGCAACAGCATCGAAAACGGTAGGAAAAGAACGGAGAAGCGTCTCTGGACGAGGCGGGAAGGTGCGGGAGGTGGGCGAGGACGGGGGGAAACGGGGGGGGGCGCCGGAGCATGCGGACGTGCACGGGCGGGGAGAGAGCAGCCCCGCACCCGCGGGGGGCAGAGGAAGCCCATGGGCTGCCGACGGGGCGCCGAGCAGAAGCACGGCTCCCAGCCCCCGGGGGCGGAGAGCGCCCTGCACACCGCCCGCCCGCGGCGGGCGCCACGGGGAAGTGCCACGCGCGCGGGCGAAGGCAGAGATGAGAGGGACGGCGGGAGGTCCGACGCAGCGAAGAAAAAAAAAAGAGTGCAGCGTCGCCAAAGACCGCGGCCGGAGTCCTGGACCCCACCTTGCCGCGTCCTTTCTCGAGCCGGATCGATGCGTGAGGGTCCCGGGGCCCGCAGCGGAGCGGAAGCGCCCGTGGTGAAGCAATTGCTACGCCGAGATCTCAGGGGAGGCCCCCACTGCGGCATGTCGTCGGAGCCTGCCCAGCCAGGGGCCGGGGTGGGGTCTGGCCGTTGCCTCCGACCACTGCGGGGTCGCAGCGGTGCGGATCCCTGGCTGTCCAGGGGAGGTCGGGGGAAGGTCCTCGCGAGGCCCGCGCTAGCGGAAGGAAGAGGGGGAGAGGGGGGGAGGCGCAGCAGAGGGAGTCCGTCGATTTCAGGCCTAGTCGTCCTCGTCGTCCTCGGCCTCTTCGTCGTCGTCGTCGTCCTCGTCCTCGTCGTCGTCGTCGTCGTGGTCGTCGTCGTCGTCGTCGAAGGAGGCGCAGCAGAGGGAGTATGTCGAGGTCAGCCTCAGTGGGTCGTTCCCGCCCCGCGGGGCACCCCGTTGCGCGCGCGCGCCTCCACCCCACTGTGGGGACAGGGGGGTGAGGCGCAGCCGTGCCCTGCAGCAGGCTCGGATCG